GGCCCCTCTGCAAGTATAGGGAGCCGGGGGGCCCCACCATGCCACCGGACCACCAGGGATCATGGAATCTCCCCCCCCCTCCCTCCCTGGACCAGGTAAGAACCAGGGAGGGAGGAATAACATTTTTCACTTTTAAAGTGTGGGGGGGGGTGGAATGCTCCATTTACACTACACTCTCACACACCCTGCTTTCATTACACTGACACTGCGTTCATTACACACACTCTGCATTAACTTTACACACAGCATCCACTATACAAACATTCTGCATTCACTGTACAAACACTACATCCACCACACATTCAAACACTCTGCATTCACTATACACAGACACTGCGTTTAATACACACACTACATCCACTAAACACATTGCATCTAGTTCCCACAAACACTACATCCACTACACAAACACACACATCACTGTACATACACTACATCCACTACACAAAACACACTCTGCGTTCACTATACACACACTTCATCCGCTACACAAACACACACTCTGCATTCACTGCAGAAACGGTATCTAATACACACAAACACTACATCCATTACACACATTTTAATTCACTTCCACTATACACACCAATAAAAAGAAAAAGGATGAGTGTTCTAAGGGAATATTACAATTTAACCTTTAGTAGTAGTAATAAAATCTATTGTGAATGTCCATAATTGAAGTACTACTCAATAATAGATAAGAGTGTACGTACACTTTAATAAGTAGTAATCAAAAAATGAAAAAAATATGTGAAGATATCCTATATTAAAAAATAAATGGGTATTATTTAAAGTATACAGATACCTAAATATGCACAAATACGGTAAACTGACAGATCTATAAATGCGGATAAAAGGTTCTGTCGAAAAGATGACAGAAACCTTGGCCGCTGAAAAAAATAAAAATAAAATAAAATTATAAATTAAAAGAAACTAAGATATGTACATGATAGAAGAAAAAAATCTCTGAGATCTCCATAAATGTAATAAGCAAAAACTAAGTTTACAATAAACAGAACCTAAGTCCAAATTAAGGTAGGCTATCTGAGAAACAAATAAAGAGAAACTAAGGTATGTACAAAATGAAAGGAGGGTTCCGATTGAAGGTGCTCAGAAAACCTTCACTGAAAATAATAATCAAAAGCTACGTTTAGTTATCCACGGAGCCTGAGTCCAAATGAAAGTTGGCTGTCAGTGAATCAATGATGTTTAATATAACAAGTAACGGATATTTATCCTAAGTATAACCAGGTCCTGTTCAAATGTTTTCAGAGACCTGAATGTAAGTATGTGTGCGAAATCAAACGTTTCGCAGATGTCAATTCCTAAGAGTTATCCAAAAGATTATTAATGGGACACAAGCTTAGTGAATGAAAGAAAAAAAATATATATATATATATAAATAAAATATACTACTGCTATAGGTGGGGGAAATGGCAAGTAATGTCTGTATGTAGCAACAGACCTTTTACGTTGTATGCTGACTGTATATGTGTCAGTCATCCCCACAAAATAAGAGAAATAGTAGATAAAGTAGAAAGATGATTGCCTAGTCTCATGAATCCCTTAGAACACTCATCCTTTCTTTTCTTTTTTTTTTTTAATTTATATAGTCTTTGGGTTAACCTCACATATGAGAGTTCCTTTAGCTTCCATTTTTTCAGTTTGTTTCCACTATACACACCACATTTAGTCCTGCATCATTGTCAGCGGACTAGGTAGGAGTCCTGTGGGTGGACTCGTGGGCGGGCCCGAGGGGCCAAAATGTCTGATGACAGCCCTGCATGCTATAGTTAACTTCCCACTAGGACCACCAGGTATTTCAGGTTATGCCCCCTCTTCTAGAAAAAAGGCAAGAAGGGTGAAGTGATCTAAAGATTATTTATTTTATTCAAAAAATACATATAAATTCACAAGATTTCAAATATATATTTGCCCCCATCTCTCACATAATACAGTCATGTACCAGTCCGAACACACTGCACACCTAACACTTGAAAAATACACACTACTGCCCCTATCCCCTACTACAGTCCCTATCCCAGCAGACCCTAAGTTGTCAAACTGTTCTTAAATGGTTTGGCTACTAACTCTGGGAGGGCACCACAGCACTCCTGGCACCATAACCCCTACAGAGGGCTGTAGTGGCTATTATGCCGGGAGTGTTACTTTAAATAATCTAGTGGTGCACCTCCAGAGATTAGGTTCTGGATCCACCCCTGAGCTGTAGTTTTTCTAGTGACTGCCTTAAGCGGCTTAGGTATTTTTGCATGTTTGTTTCTTCATAAATCTAAATAAAGAATGTTGTTATTTAAAAAATAAAAAATGCATACATAATGTGCCAAATATTTTTAGAAATTCAACCAATGATAGTTAAAGGTTACCACTGTACTGTGGTTATATATTTGTGTAGTTATTTGTAACAATATAATCAGTTAAAAGCACTGCAACATATATTTTTAATTGAAACATTTACAAACTTTAAAGGGACACTGTAAACACCCAGGCCACTTCTAATTGAAGTGGTCTAGGTGCAGTGTCCCTTTTGCACTTTGTGCTGCAATGTTTATTTATTACTGGCATTTATAAAGTGCCAACATATTCTGAAGCACTGATGTCAAATATTGCAGTTCCATAGAAAATGCAATGTTTACATTGAAGCTCTAAGTCTGCCCTCAGTAGCTGTCTTTGACTGAGGGGGCAGCGATAGTACCAGGAATACAGCTTTATATTCCTGGCACTATAGGATACCTTTAATTCTATAGTTGTCAGCAGTCCTCTTTCCACAAAATCTCTCAAATTATAGAAATCACGGACGGAGTGAGATCTTTCAATACTGATCATATTTAAACTTACTGGCTTGTCAAGTATGCACTTTTTATGTGAATGATAAAGTATTTTGATTTTTCAATTTTATTTTTCCACACTGCAACTACATATAAAGTACTACAAAAAGTGGACAGAAATTTTGACTTGAAGGTTGATTATACCCATGATTTGTACTTTGATCAACATATTCCTTATACTAGTACAAATAGGGAGTCTCATGAACAACAGTTTTTGGGGAAAAATTCTGAATCCTAGGTATCCTTACATACATTTCATGCTGAGCTTCCCATTATACAGCTATATTGCAATAGTCATATGTGACATTTCTTACACATTTATTGTCCTACATAAAAAGTATGTGCTTTTTGAAATAATCATTGTTGCTGACAATTTTTTTTATATTCTTTATTTTATTAGTGCACACGTTGAACAAGCAGGTGTGCACAGCCACAACAGGTGGTGCAAACTAGGCATATGGTATTGAATAAGAATGGTGTGGCTATAATAACATTGCATATTTTATTTATAAGAAACAACTTGGTTTAACTGCAATCTTTAATCTGCTGTGAGGAGGTGTTTTATAAAATTATATATATATATATATATATATATATATATAATACACAAGATCCAGCGCACTCACCTATCCACTAAACAGCAACTTCAATGTTGAAAGATTTTATTTGTTTTTTTAAAAACACCTAATCTAGGCAAAAATAATGGGGTTTAGTTACATTATATGATCATACATTGCATAAGCCTGCCACAACGTCAATGTACCCCATCTTTGGCAGGTCCTACACTAACAGCCTAATGTCTGCTCTTATGAGATTAACCTACTTGGGGAAAAAAATTCCATCTGGGGCTCTCTGCAGTACAAGGCTAAATAGGGCCCTGGGATGAGGCACCTGTGACAGGGAGGGGTGCAAAACCAAGGAGTTGGCTAGACTCCCAATATATATATAAAACAAGAGGGGGTTGGCTGCACTCACCTTAACATGCATAAATGGGGGTGCTGCTGGGGGCCAAATAATACAATACACAAGATCCAGCGCACTCACCTATCCACTAAACAGCAACTTCAATGTTGAAGTTGGTTTTGCACCCCTCCCTGTCACAGGTGCCTCATCCCAGGGCCCTATTAAGCCTTGTACTGCAGAGAGCCCCAGATGGATTTTTTTTCCCCAAGCAGGTTAATCTCATAAGAGCAGACATTAGGCTGTTAGTGTAGGACCTGCCAAAGATGGGGTACATTGACGTTGTGGCAGGCTTATGCAATGTATGATCATATAATGTAACTAAACCCCCATTATTTTTGCCTAGATTAGGTGTTTTTAAAAAAACAAATAAAATCTTTCAACATTGAAGTTGCTGTTTAGTGGATAGGTGAGTGCGCTGGATCTTGTGTATTGTATTATTTGGCCCCCAGCAGCACCCCCATTTATGCATGTTCAGGTGAGTGCAGCCAACCCCCTCTTGTTTCATATATATATATATATATATATATATATATATATATATATATATATATATATATATATATATATATATATCCCACTCAACCTATCATTGGGGTGGGGTCTCTGTCTTATTCTCTTTTATTAGGTATTTCATTTATTTTTGTGCCCTGATGCTCTTGGTTTAGGGGAACGGCAGAAGTAATGCCGTAGAGAATCCTGTGCTGTCTGAAACGTGGTTTGGGAGCTTAGTGGTGCTTTTAGGTTAGTCACCCCGTAGAGAGCTCGCGGACCTGGACTAGTGTGTCTTCGCTATTATATACGATGTGGAGTGGTGGTCTGTAGTGTGAGAAGGTCTTACTAGTCCTGCCTCAGAGGGTTAAGAGAGTGGTGGTGTGCTACCTTGACATCTCCTGCAGATTTGTAATAGCCTTGGCACTCATTAACCCCTGGGCACCAAAAGTGGGGGGGGGGCCATACTTTCAGGTACAGTGATGGGTGGGGTGCATTACTGTCTCGCTATATAGGAATTTTAACTAAAATCATCCACACAAAGCAGAAACTTACTTAAAGCAAAGAATGAACATAGAGTGCAAACGTGTGCCCGAGGAGGGCTCAGTCCAGTGGCTCAATCCTATCCAGGATAGTCCTTGTGGCATCAGCCAGTGTCTGCTGCGGAACAAGGGGGATGATGTTGGTTACATCCCAGGAACTTCAAGGAGTGGGATAGTTGGAGCCTGGTGCATCCAGCCCGAGTTTGCCCAAGAAGGAGCTAGAGTCATCTGGCGACATCAGGCGGAAGGTGGATGCGCCCTTCGTAACCGTGAGCATAGAGGATCTCCAGCAGTATTTAACCCCAGCTGCTCTGAGAGTCTCGGTGACTTGCCGGACTGACCTTCTCCATGTCAGAGTGGCTCTGCATAGGTCTTGTAGGAAAGTGAGCTGCATGCCCTCAAATTGGTAGGGGCTCCTGTTATTGAGCGCTGTCATTACCACCATTTTGTCTATAGTGGACAAGAAGCTGAGGAGAACATCGTGGAAGGCCCCCGCCGGAGCTCTTGGAGACTTCTGGAGTCTATGGGTGCTTTCTACTTGGACTCTCTTTGCCTGCTTGGGATTTAGGAGCATGGTTAGAAGATGTCGGGTGAATTGTGGCAGTTCCTTGTCGTCGATAGAGTCAGCGACGCATCTTGATTTGTATGTTTGTGCAACGTCTTGCATCGTCTAGGCCATGTATCCGGGCCTGCAAAGTGTGGTGCAAGACTTGTAGGAGTCGGAGCTTTTCCTCCGTTGCTTGGTGGCGTTGAGCACCTTACACTCCTCTCGTAGTAATGCGATGTCTGTGCAGAACAAGGTGCGTATATTTTTTAGGATGTTCAGTATGTCCCCATTGGTAGCCGGAGCTCCCAGGTCTCAGACTTGTAAGTTCAAGAGGGGCTTGAACTTCAGGTATGGGGTCAGCTTCAGGTATGGGGTCAGGCGTGTCCATCTCCTCCTCCGAGGATGAGCTTTGTGGATCCAGGGTCGCCGGGTTTAGGTCTTGACAGGAATAGGTTGCCGATTTTCCAGGGCCCGTCCCCTGGGTGAGTTTTAAGTTATTTCGTTTCCCCATGTTGTCACACGGTGTAGGAGCCTGAAAGTAGTCTGTTTGTCGTCGTATAGGTCTGTTAGTCTGCATTAATTGCCGTTATCTCTCTGGAGCACCGCAGTCATGTGACTCCTCTCAGTTAGGTCCAGACCACCGGCAGATAGTATTTTTAACACTATATGGTCAAGAATACATGTTTGATAAAAGATAAACATTAAGGCTGGTTGGTCATCTCAACAGAGAAAAATTAAGATTCCACAGGACCAGGTTAACAGTTTGGGGATCTCATTTATTCTTCATATAATGCCAAGCAAAGTTATAGTTCCTGAGCCCTTGTCTTGCCCAGTACAGCTGCCTAAGCCCACCTTTAATCCTGTCTCATCATTGAGGAACAATATGTTTGCTAACTTACCAGGCCACTCACATAATGCCTTATTTATCAGATAGATAAAAAAAGGGAACAAGGGGGCAGATCTGCATCATTGCGTCCCTCAAAGATACTATCTGAGGGAATCTGTCCTCCGGATCCTCTCCATAGCTTTATAAAAATTAAATAGAACATTGGCTGGTGAAAAACCTATTAACTTCCTTTTATTTTCAAGAGAAAAGTAAGCAAATTAGTAAGTGGACATAAAACAGGCTAGTGCTTATTAATTTTAACTTCATGTAAAAGGCTTTGACAAGATTAAGAGTTGAACAAAACTGCAGGTTGGTACATCATAGAAAGGATGCACACCACTCCTTCAGACAGGAAGAACACAGCTCAGCTTGACGTGAATTTGCTCCACAGCAGTCTTTCAGCCAGTCTTTGAAAAGGTCATCGGCATCCTTCCTCAACATAAGGAACTGTCCCAGAAGCACATATGCCTAAGGAAATAAAGTTTAAAAGAAAATGAAATTCAATCGCAACAGTGTATATCCATAAAGGTAAAGGAACCAAAGACTAACATTGGTGATTTTGCAAGTGGAAACTGATCCCTGGCAAGAGTTTCATTTGACAGGAGCAGAGTCCCAGTTAGCAGTGTAATGTAGCTGTGGGAAGCAGTGCTTCTGATACTGCTTCTCTCTCTAGTGGCCCACACTTATTGTTGGCACTGGATTATCCATCAACTGTGCCATCCAGCCTGGCCCCCAACAGCAAAACACACACACACACCACACAAACAAAGCCAAAACACAATTTAACCCGTCTGCCCTTGACGATCAGCATCATCAATTAAAGGGATTCTATAGTGCCAGGAAAACAAAGCCGTTTTCCTGGCACTATAGGTTTAAAAGTTGCCCCCCTCCATCGCACCCCCCTCCTGCGGCACTGAAGAGGTTAAAACCAGTACAGTCACTTACATGAATCCAGCTATGATGTTCCACGGCACTGGGTCAGGCTCCGTCCCAACCATCAGCCGGTTGGCAATGGCCGCGCACGCATTAGGATTTCACCATAGGAAAGCATTAATTAATGCTTTCTTTTGAGGAAAATCTGACGCTGGAGTTCTTCATGCAGAGCGTGAGGACGTCCAGCTTCAGATAACGTACCAAAGGTCCATATCGATTCCGGAATCCCTCTAGAGGCTGTCTGGTAGACAGCCACTGAGGGCAGACTAAGAGCAGCAATGTAAACATTGCTGTTCTCTGGAACTGCAATGTTTTACATTGCAGCACTAGGTGCAAAAGGGACACAGCACCCAGACCACTTCAATTAGCTCAAGTGTTCTGGGCGCCTAGTGTCCCCCTAACCCCTTAAGGACACAAGACATACATGACATGTGTGACATGTCAAGATTCCCTTTTATTCCAGAAGTTTGGTCCTTAAGGGGTTAAGGAACGCTGAAATACAGACTGATCAAGTGGTGCTCAGCAGGTCTGACAATGATCGTGCACCTTACACTGCTTGTATACTGTCCCACTGTAGCAAATGGAGCCATTAACACTTAATATGGTGAGGTTGCCGTTCTTCTCTAGCCCCTGCTCATCACTTTGCCCTAGAACAGGGGGGTCAGCAGCCTATGGCACGTGTGCCAAGCATGGCATTCGAGATGCCTTTGCACGGCACTAAAAGCTACCAGAGACAGAAAGACTCTGGCCTATCAGGGACTCCAGTGGGATTTCAGATATCTGCTAGTGCAACCCAAGCGGTGATTGCAGGTGATGAGGACACACCACCACTGACAATCTAACTACTCGCACACAACCTCACAAGCAGCTTCTCACATGCAAAACAACAAGCATCCCAACACATGACCAAACATACTATGTGACATTTCATCTACACACAATTGTACAAACAGCCCCCGTCCACAGCCAGCATTCATATGTCTCATACACAATACCACAAACTTCTCATGATCATATACAATATAACAGCCCACATATGCACAAATACAACATTACAAAGTAACTGCAGGACCCATAAATAGCACAAGCAGAATACAGCAACATACACACCTAGTTTAAAAAAATAAAAAAAATAGAACTGGAACACCAGAGGATTTCCAGATTGTACTACTAAAAGGTTGCCTACCCCTGTCCTAGAATCTCATGGTGTACATCATGGGTAGTCAACCTGGTCCCTACCGCCCACTAGATTTTGATAAGGAAAGTTCAGTGTCTCCATGCAGAGGGTCAAGACACTGAATGTCCGAGATGCACACTGAAGCATCTCTAGTAGCCATCTGAAGAGTGCCCACTGGAGTGGTCCCTAGCCTGTAATGTAAAAACTGGCTTTTCTCTGAAATTACAGTGTTTACTGCCTACAGGGACTGACTATAGTCACCAGAACAACTACATTAAACTGTAGTTTGCTCTGGTGACTAAAATTTTCCTTTAACCCCTTCAGGACCGGCCTGTTTTGGCCATTTTGTACATTAAGGACCATGGCTCTTAACACTTGTTTTTAGCTGTAATTTTCCTCTCATTTACTGTTCCCATACAAGTTATATTTTTTTTTCAGGACAAAAAGGGCTTTCTCTACATACCATTATTTGTATCACGTCATAATTTACTTTAAAAAATGAATAATAAAATATGGTGAAAAATGAAAAAAATAAATGTTTTTTGACTTTTGCTTGAAAAATCTTTTACTTACCTAAGAAATCTAATGAAAAAAAAACTGCTCAATAGATTCAAAATTTTGTCCTGAGTTTAACCCCTTAAGGAACGGACTGTTTTTGCGATGTTGTACATTTGCGTCCAGGCATCTTTTTACACTTTTGTGGTGTTTGTGTTTAGCTGTAATTTTCCACTCTCATCTACAAGAGCTGCTTTCTTTACATACCATTATTTATATAATCTCATGTAATAGAAAAAAAAAAAAGAAAAAAATATGATGAAAAATTGAAAATACTTTTTTTAACTTATGTGAAAAATCTTTTACTCATCTACAAAAGCGAATAAAAAAAACTGCTAAATAGATTCAAAATTTTGTCCTGCGTTTAAAAATACCCAGTGTTTACATGCTTTTTTGCCATTTTATTTGCATGTTATAGGGCTATAAGTACAAGTAGGATATTGCGGTTTCAAAACATACATTTTTAAAATTTATCAATAGTGACATTGTAACACTATTATCTGTCATAAATCTCTGAATAACACCACACATGTACATTTTTTTTTTTTTTAATTTAGACAACCCAGGGTATTCAATATGGGTTATGTCCAAACTTTTTTAATAGCCACTTAGTCGCAAACACTGGCCAAAGTTAGAATTCATATTTGTTTGTGTGTGAAAAAAGTAAAAAACTAAATTGAACGTTAATTTTGGCCAGTGTTTGTGACTAAGTGGTTACTAAAAAGACTGGACATACCCCATTTGCAATACCTTGGGGTGTCTTCTTTTGCAAATGGTATGCCATTATGGGGGTAATTCTCATTCCTGGGCTACCATACGCTCTCAAAGGCAATGTAACCAACCTGGCCTTTTTCAATGTAAAAATATTTGACCCATATATTTGACCCTGTAACTTTCAAAAACGCTATAAAACCTGTACATGGGGGGTACTGTTATACTCAGGAGACTTTGCTGAACACAAATATTAGTGTTTCAAAACAGCAGCTGGAAAAGGGGACCTGATCACTGAGACACCTGTCCACTATCCTACACCGGATAAAGCTTAAGCGTCACAGTAAAAACCACAATCAACTAGGCCGTACACTCCGACACCTCACACCCACCTCTCATATACCAGACGCACCCACCCTCACCCCCCCATCACTACGCCGCTCGGCCCCCCCCTGGCCGCTCCGGAGATGCCGACCCCGGGAATAGACCGATACGCCCGGGAAGACCTCTCAATCGTCACCTACAACGTCCACGGTCTCAACGTACGTGAGAAGCGCTCCAGACTCCTGCGAGACCTTAAACACTACAAGACCTCCATAGCGTTTCTTCAGGAAACACACTTCCAGGAAGGCCGAGCGCCAGCGCTGAAAGACCGCTACTTCAGGCAGGGATACTTCAGCAACAACCCGGACCGGCGCACACTGGGAGTGGGAATCCTCTTCTCTAACCAGATCCCGTATGTAGAGCGAGCCACACTCAGATGTAAACAAGGCAGATACATCTTTACGAAAGGCACCATTCTAGACCAGACGTACACCTTTGCCAACCTCTACTCTCCAAACACAAAACAACACCTCT